CTAACTGTCCAGGTAAGGACCCTCGGCTGCCTTTCCACGGTCAGGTAAATGACGTATGCATTGCTTCCTTCCATCGGTCAACCAGGCTTTATTGATCTTCCTGCTATGCTTTGGGCTGGGGCCATGAGCTGAAGGTGGGGTAAGCTGTTCACGGTGTTTAGTAGTTTGTTTACTTGCTTTTAATTGTGCTAAGGGTTTTCCTACCTGGCGAGAGGGTTAGAGGAGTTGTTGTATAGGTTCTTCAGAAGGTCACGGCTGCCCAGTTGCCTTAAGCCCTGGATCATGGCCTACCCTGTGCTGGCTCCCGGCTTTTTAATGTGGTTCCTTCAGCTGCTGGATTACAGTGTAATGAGCTGGGGAGTGAAGGATAGGTTGGGTTCGTGGGATAAAGTGCTCCCCGGTGTCAGTGACCATGTGGGGGCAGTGCCGTGTGTAGATGTGCGTGTCTGCCCCGTTTGTCAGGACGCGGGGAGCGTCCAGTGGCAGGAGGCCCTGCCAGGAACGCTGTCTGCGGGGCCGTGAGGGAGCGGGTGGTCCAGAAGCGAAGGCATTCTCCTTGCTTGCTTCTTGAGGGCTGGGGGAAGGAGACACTTCCATCAGAGTGAGGAACCCCTGAGGGCAGCGCCACCTCCCCTGCCCTGCAAGCTCTCAGGGCTGCAGTTGCATCCAGTCCTGTAACAGTAGGATAAATGATCCCTTCATTTCCCAGGGTAGCATTTGTATAAGTGTCCAGAGTGCTGCCAGTTAGGGAATCCATGTCCCTCCCCCACCACAGGCATACCCCATGTGCACAGACACACACGCACACACTTGCGTGCACACCCACCTGTACACCGCACCTGCAGTGGCTTCTCCTTTCTCTGAACTTAGGATTCAGCCTCTCAGGGGCCCTTTCATTGCTTCTGTGTTGTTGGTGGCCTTGCCTGCACCGCCCCTTGGAGCCAGAGGCCCTTGAGGGCAGGTACATAGAAGGCCCCTGGCAAGTATTTACTGAATGACTGAGATAAGGGGTAAATGAATTCCAGATGGGTGAAGTGTCAAGGCTGGAGAAATTGGGGCGGACCCAGGTTTTGTGAGTCCCAGGCTGGGCCTGGGGCCAGCTGGTCCTGCCTCGGCTGCTTTGGCCCAGGGACAGCGCACCAATTACCCCGTGCTCTTTCCAAGAACTTGCGCTCCCCTTTCTTGCTCTGAGTCTAGCGGCTGGACAGGGTGATGACTGAGCCTTCGCAGCGCCTGCACCCGCTGGTGGGGCACGGGGTGTCGGGTCTCACAGAGCATTCTGAGCTGAACATCTGCAGTGGCTCTGCCTCCCGGTGGGGTTCTGCACAGGCTTTGCCTGGGCTTATTCAAGGGGCTGAGGGCCACAATCCTCAGAGCATCCCTTCGGAGCTGGCCAGCTCTGCTGAAAGTCTGGGTTCTCCCATGGATCCCATGATGAGTGGTCAGGCTCTGAAGGGGATCGTTGCTCTCTGTCTCCTGGGCCAGCTGCTGGGCTGGTCACCGTGGACACGTGTGGTAGAAGAGCTGGTGCTGGGGCAGCTCTCCCTTGATGGTTTCTGGACCCCCAGGTTCTGGGTGGTAGCCAGAGACCCTTCCAACTCTGACAGATTCTGACTGTGGATGTTCAGGGACTTGTGCAAAAGCTGAGTGTGGGTCCCCTGAGGTTGGGGGGAGAGTGGTTCTCCTATGGGGCTAGCCTTCTTTTATGGGCTGTGTTTGTAGGGTCTATCCACCAATTCCTCTATTCAGTCAGAAAATACTGAACCTACAATGAGCCTGCTCTGCTCTAGGCCCCAAGGCTTTATCTGTGACCAAGGCAGACATGATCCTGCCCTCGTGGAAAAGAAGCACACCTGTAAAAGGGTCAACAAGAAAACCGTATCCTAGTGGTAAGTGCTATAAAAAAGAAAATCAGGGGGCCGGCCCAGTGGCATAGTGGTTAAGTTTACGTGCTCTGCTTCTGTGGCCCGGGTTCATGGGTTCGGATCCCAGATGTGAACCTGAACACCGCTCATCAAGCCATGCTGTGGTGGTGTCCCCGCATACAAAATAGGGGAAGATTGGCACAGAAGTTAGCTCAAGGACAATCTTCCTCAATCAAAAAGAGGGAGGTTGGCAACAGATGTTAGCTCAGGGTCAATCTTCCTCACCAAAAAAAAAAAAAGAAAAGAAAGAAACTCAGGTGATGGGATGAGAGAGACTGGGGGAGTCAACCTCAGACAAGGTGGGCATAGAGTGCCTTCGTGAGAAGGGGATATGGGAGCTGAGACCTGCATGAGGAGAAGGACTCAACTGTCCCTTTGCACATTCTAGAACATTCTATGTTCAGCAAAGGCACCTGAAGACCAGTTGCTTAAAGGGGTTTAAGAAAAATTTTGTTGACTGAAAAAAAGCTTTTTGAACATAATAAAATAATTCCATATCCAAACGTAACTTGAAACTCCCCACATTCATTATTTGATAAGTTGAGCTGTTACTTGCCCAGCATGAATGGGGGGGATGGTCTTCAACTTCTTGCCCCTCATCCAACCTGATTTGCAGTCTTTCTGTATTGCACACTCAGCCTCCTCTCCCTCCTGCTGAATTGGCATCATGTCATCAGCAGCAACCTGAAAATAGCCCGTCTTCCTGGATTCATGTCTTCTGAGCTGGCCAACTGGGCAGCCTTTGGAAGTGGGCCAGCCATGTTGGCTTTAGACCTTCCAAACTTCCCCAGAGTTGTTGGGTGGAATTCTGAGCACTCCCAAGTGGCTTTAGGGTCATGATCTGTGTTTGCTCAGGAGAGGAGCCAGCACAGCTGGATGGGACTTGAAGGCAGAGGAACGGCTCCAGACAGGGCCCTGGGGCCTGCTAGAGTCCCTGCCGGGAGCCTTCCAAGCACCAGTCCTGCTCCAGCAACTTCCGTACTGGGCCTGCTCTCCTTGCTGGCCAGTGGGTGCCATGGGTGCTGGGGCCAGCCAGGCTTGTCCACCAGCATGTCTTCAGTGCCAAGGACAGGGCCTGGCACACAGTGGGAACTCAGCAAGTTTGTTGAATTAATGCAAGAATCCCCATGAGTAATTACTGCTTTATGAGCAGTCTCCAAAATGGGCCTGTTTTTTTTGAGTGCAGACCGCCACCAGAAGGAAAAAGGAAAGATGGCAAATTGGAAGCCTTTGTTTACTGCAAGTGACCGTGTGCCTGCGTGTATGTGTGTGCGCCGTTGTCCATGTCATCATTCATGGACCAGTAGCCCTGTACCACAGTTATGCGTTCTCTCCCTCCTGGAAATAAACACCTCTGTCGTTTTCTTCCCCTCCCTTGCAAGATGGATTCACAGCCCCTGTCCTCTTGCCAAGGAAGTCAGGCCTCCCGTTGGAGACCCTCCATGCCTTGTACAGCCTGCCTGGCGGGAGGCCCAGCAGGCAGCAGACCCCACCGGTGCTGAATGTGCTTCCTCCACAGTTGAGCTCTGTCCCCACAGATCCCCCTGGGAGATTTCTTGGCCCAGGAATCAGTCCTGGCTGGGGTTAAGCACTGCTCCTGGAACACCTGGCCGGCCAACACATCTAAACATTGGGCTACAAAGAGGATAGATGTGCAAAAACTGTTCCAATGGCAGGAAGCGAATTTGGACTCCTTCAGGTGGAAGACAGATCTGGAAACAGAAGGACCCCAGGCATGGGTTCATTGCCTTCCAAAGCTGAGCTCCCCACAGGCTCTGTGTGGAGGGAGTTGTTCCCTCCACCCCACCTGGAATAGTCTGGTGTTAGCCATTCTGCACAGGCTGGAGAGGGGGCAAAGAGGACTATTAAAGACAATTATGAAGACCAGCTTTGAATGTTAGTGTTTAACAAACAGCTTTGACTTCTAATTTTCTACAAAACACATACTGCAGGTACAATTTGTACTCATTACCGTATATTGGGAAAGTTATTAAAAACACTCAAACTTGGTTGAGACTTCCTATGGCATCGTCCCTGGATTTTAATTGGTTTTTATCTAATTTTATAAGAGATCTCTGTCAGCCCAGTCAAAGTCCCTGCCTCCAAGATCGTGCCGGTTGAAGGAGAGGGAGAGCCCATTACGTGGTGTAAGGCTTTGCCCCACCCAAATTTGAACAGTCTCAACAATCCACTAATATCCTGTCACGAGATAATTTATACTTCTTTTGATGGGCACAGTTACCAAATGACAAAATAACAGTGTTTCGTAACATAAGGGTTAAATCTTAATCTCTGAGGTTTGCAAAGCTGCTACTCGCAGTCTCCTTAAAATTTAATATACCTCGTTAATGCTTCCTCGCAAACACTGAAGGATTTTTATGATTATAATCATGTGTTACAGCACCTAGTACTGTTTCTAAGCAGCATACTAATCAGCTTAATGAGATATTACTGCACTTTTTGTTGACTAAAGCAAAATCCCTTTTATTGTTCTAAAGCCTGTCCTTTATTTTTTCCCAAAACATTATCTTGTTTTATTATGTACCAGTAAATATCATGACATTGGGTTTTTTTTTGTGGGGGAGGCAAATCATAAAATAATCTCTTTAATCTCAGACTGGTGAGTGTATTGAATATAGGAACTGGAAACAAAAATTCCAAGTGATTCGGTCTTGCAGTTACCGCCACTCTGCTCTTAGGAAAACTTTGAACTGATCCAACAGGTGCAAGTGCCACCGAGAGGAAAGGAGGACAAGTTCACCACGTAGACCCTTGATCTGTTATTAGGTGTTGAAAGTGGTGAAACATTAATAATTTAAATGTGAATGAATAATTGCAGTCTTTAAATGGAAAATACAAGGAAGACGATCTATCGCCAAAACAAATTTGAGGAGCAATGCCATATTGCGTAATTGGCATTTAATAATTCATTTTTTTATTATTGTTTTTGACTATAATTCCTTAGCATTATTATGTGTAGGTAAGGCATGAAATGCAAATTCCCCCCCAGCCGATGCTGTTGATTCACTGCAGCACGGCGCCTGGCACAGGTCTGAACTCTCTCTTTATTTCCAGGGATGGAAGAAGCCAGTCTGTGCCTTGGAGTGTCCTCAGCGGCGCCGGAAGCTGAGCCCCACCTAAGCGGCCCCGTCCTCAACGGCCAGTATGCCATGAGTCAGAAGTTGCACCAGATCACCGCCCAGCTCAGCCATGCCTTCCCCGAGCTGCATCCACGGCCTAACCCCGAGGAGAAGACGCCTGCGCCCCTCGAGGAGAAGGCCCACGTGCCCATGAGTGGCCAGCCCATGGGCGGTCAGATGGCTCTCCTGGCCAACCAGCTGGGCCGGGACGTCGACACCAGCCTCAATGGGCGGGTGGACCTGCAGCAGTTCCTCAACGGGCAGAACCTGGGCATCATGTCCCAGATGAGCGACATCGAGGACGACGCCCGAAAAAACCGCAAGTACCCCTGCCCCCTGTGTGGCAAGCGGTTCCGCTTCAACAGCATCCTGTCCCTGCACATGCGCACTCACACCGGCGAGAAGCCCTTCAAGTGCCCCTACTGCGACCACCGGGCGGCACAGAAGGGGAACCTCAAGATTCACCTGCGGACCCACAAGCTGGGCAACCTGGGTAAGGGACGCGGGCGCGTGCGTGAGGAGAACCGCCTGCTGCACGAGCTGGAGGAGAGGGCCATCCTGCGGGACAAGCAGATGAAGAGCAGCCTGCTGCAGCCCCGGCCCGACCTGAAGCCCCTGCCGCACGCCCAGCAGGCCCCGCTGGCCGCCTGCAGCCTGGCCCTGCCTGCCAACCACAGCGTGCCCGACGTGGCCAACCCGGTGCCCTCGCCCAAGCCGGCCAGCGTGCAGGAGGACGCGGCGGTGCCGGCCGCTGGCTTCCGCTGCACCTTCTGCAAGGGCAAGTTCAAGAAGCGGGAGGAGCGGGACCGCCACATCCGCATCCTGCACAAGCCCTACAAGTGCACGCTGTGCGACTTCGCGGCCTCGCAGGAGGAGGAGCTCATCAGCCACGTGGAGAAGGCGCACATCACCGCCGAGTCGGCCCAGGGCCAGGGCCCCAACGGCGGCGGGGAGCAGTCGGCCAACGAGTTCCGCTGCGAGGTGTGCGGGCAGGTGTTCAGCCAGGCGTGGTTCCTGAAGGGCCACATGCGGAAGCACAAAGACTCCTTCGAGCACTGCTGCCAGATCTGCGGCCGGCGCTTCAAGGAGCCCTGGTTCCTCAAGAACCACATGAAGGTCCACCTCAACAAGCTGTCGGTGAAGAACAAGGTCCCCAGTGACCCCGAGGGGCCTGTGCCCATGGGTGGCATGTCCCAGGAGGCCCACGCCAACCTGTACTCCAGGTACCTCTCCTGCCTGCAGAGTGGCTTCATGGCCCCAGACAAAGCTGGCCTGAGTGAGCCCAGCCAGCTCTATGGCAAAGGGGAGCTGCCCGGGAAGGAGAAGGAGGTCCTGGGGAAGCTGCTGTCTCCCATCTCCAGCATGGCCCACGGCGTCCCCGAGGGCGACAAGCACTCCCTCCTGGGATGCCTCAACCTCGTGCCGCCGCTGAAATCCAGCTGCATTGAGCGGTTGCAGGCGGCTGCCAAGGCTGCTGAGATGGACCCGGTGAACAGCTACCAGGCGTGGCAGCTCATGGCCAGGGGCATGGCCGTGGAACACGGCTTCTTGTCTAAAGAGCATCCGCTGCCCCGCAGCCACGAAGACACTTTGGCAAACGCCGGAGTTCTGTTTGATAAGGAGAAGCGGGAGTACGTGTTAGTGGGAGCAGATGGCTCCAAGCAGAAAATGCCTGCTGATTTGGTTCACGGCACTAAAGTGGGCAATCAGAGGGACCTGCCAAGCAAGCTTGACCCTTTAGAAGGCAGTCGGGATTTTTTGTCACACGGGCTGAACCAGGCCCTCGAATATAACCTGCAGGGTCCCGGGAACATGAAGGAGAAGCCCACCGAGTGCCCGGACTGTGGCCGAGTGTTCCGCACCTACCACCAGGTGGTCGTGCACTCCCGTGTACACAAGCGGGACCGCAAGGGCGAGGAGGACGGGCTTCACGTGGGCCTGGACGAGCGGCGTGGCTCGGGCAGTGACCAAGAGTCCCAGTCGGTGAGCCGCTCTACCACGCCAGGCTCCTCCAACGTCACCGAGGAGAGTGGGGTTGGAGGCGGGCTCTCTCAGACCGGGAGTGCCCAGGAGGACAGCCCGCATCCCTCCTCGCCGTCCTCCTCAGGTAGGTCTCCAGGGAAGATGGGGGAGGAGCAGCTTGCACAAGGGCCCTCCCTGCCCAGGGTGCCTGGTTCTGTGCAGGCCTCCGTGGGGAAGGACCTTCACTGCTCTTCAAGGTCAGTTCTGAGGTCACCGTTGCTTGATGGCATATGATGAGTGGGCTGGACACTGGACCTTGCCTTTCTGCCCTGCCTCAAGGGAAGGCTGTCATTTCAACTCTTTGGCCTTTCCTTGAACACTGGCCACCAGGAGAGTAAGTTGATCCTCCTCTCATGTGGTAGGGATGGCCAGCTGGCACATTTGCCGATGGGGCCTAGCCTACCATTCCCCTGCAGTTGCCCACCAGGCCCCATTTCATGCCCTGACTCCATCTGCCATCATCTGGTCTCCAGACCTGGGAGCTGGCACTCGGCTCCATCCATGGATGTGAATGTGGAAGGTCAGACACTCACCGTCTTTCTCCTAAGTGTATTCCCATAATTGTCTCCTTTGGGCCCCCCAGTCTCCCTCCCCAGACCTAACGTATCTCCTGTCCCCTTCCAAAATGACACTGTGGCTCACCTGTCAGGTGCCTCTAACCTGAAGAACCCTGCCACTCTCCTCTGATGGTTTGGAAAAGCACAGAGGTTTGAAACAGATGCGCGACTGCATGTCTTAAATTGTACTGTGTTACATGGGCGATACAGCTTTGGGGTCTAAAATAGCAAAGCAGAAAATCTGTCATCAACATGTCTGTGAAATGCTGAAGCTTCCTGGCCCAGTTTGAAAAGAAAAAAAAACAGTAGCCCAAGACGCCTAAATTAAAATTGCTACCTAACAGCAGGTAAGCTGTTGCCTCCATCCGTATTTCCAAAGCCCCTTACTAATGGATAGTAAATTGAAAGTTATATCTCTAGCCCTTTATAAAGAAAGCATCTCGCTAATACTGTAATCATTCTGCAACCTAACAACAGAGGAAATCATGCCATAACAAATACCCCGTTACTAATGGCAACATTGATTTCTGCAATCAGCCATTAAGTCTCGAAAATGAAAGACAGTTTGAGCCACCTCAAGGCACTGCGTTGCCCACTGTTTAAGATGTGGTGGCTCACTGTTGAGGGTCATTTTTTAAAAGTTCTTTTTTTTCTCTTCTTTTTTTTTCCCATCCCGTTTTCAATAAATATTTCAGTATTGGAGGCAATTCACCGCTCCAGTTATGAAGTAGATGCCAGTTTGGTTTTGTTGTTATTGTCATGCTTCAGTATCCCCTTCTTCTAGGGCAAAATTAGTATTAAAATAAAGTGTGAGTCTGCTGGCTTATTACAAACCAGTAAAGAATTGTTAAGACACATAAATCTGAACTGCACATTCCAGAGATTCCGATAGCACTTAATGCCGCTGCTTAAATACCCATGAAACACACTGTCTACTCCTGGAGTTCTGGGCTCGTTTGCGATTTATTTCTGGTGAGATACTCTGGAAGAGTTGAACCAGGAATGCGAGCACCTTGGAGGGGTGAGGTCGCTGCACCAGTGACCACGACATGGAGCCTACGAGATGCACGGGAAGGGTTTTCAAGTTTCGCTGTCTGACGGTGGGAACTCTGTACAAATGGTCTGGGCTCCGCGGAGGCAGCAAAGTGCCAGGCGTCCCGCCATCAGGAGGGACAATTTCCGGCCTCCTGAGAAGAGGTCCCCTCTGCCGGGGAATGTTGTCTCACTGCTTTTGGATTGGGGACCTTGACAGGGCGGAAAGCAGAGAGCACACTGGCTCTCCTAAGGTTTTGGAGTGATGTGGAGTTAACATTGACAGATTTTCATCCCTCTCCCAGACCCGCTGAAATGGAAAGGTCTCAGCAGAATATTCCAGCACCAAATGTTCGGCTTTATTAATGACGTGTTTTTCGTGTTTTTCTCACCTTCTGGCCAAGTGATAGCCTCATGCTATTCCTGTCTCTGTTGTTTCCATCTCTCTAAATACTCTATGGAACAAACCCATTTTGCTTAAAAGAACCAACTGGGCTTAGGACTCCAAAGAGAATTATACTTTTTTGGTTATCTTCTTACTTTTATTTCCCTCGCTGAAGTATTTTACAATTGTGAATACTGATTCTTTCATTTCTGGTTGACTTCTTTGTTTTCTTCATATTCAAATTAGACCCTTTCATAATTTTCTGACTAAGTAGGAAAATTGATGGCATACCAGTATGCAGGCCGCATCAGTCGCAGGCCTGGGGCATTCAGGTTTTCCTGGGATTAGAACCCTTGACTAAATCTGGTTAGTCTTCCCTCTTGTTTCTAACACGTGTGACTTGTATAAAGTGCGATTCAAATAAGCATTTAAATAAAAATCTTGACACAATAGGTATTTTATTATTACCTGTTAGAGAGAAACCTGAAAGGTGAAGGGGAGAAAAAAAATCTTTAAGCCCTTAAGTAAAGAAAGGAGTACTTATTAAGGCTTCTGTTAAGAAGTAACCGCAAAACACGGTTTTACAAATTTCTCAGACTGCATAACAATGTCGCAAAACTTAATTTGCATCACTTGATTCTTTTTTTGTTGAAAACTGGGTCAGTAGGGCCTGAGAAACTATTTTTTCAGATCTTAACCAATGAATTCTTCTTTATAAATCGCTGCTCTTAACATGATAGTAGTTCTGAATTCATCATAAAAAACCTTTTTACAGAGAGCCTCTTAGAACGGATCTCCAGAAGGAGGCTTACAATGAGTGGCAGAGACGTCCTTTGTTATCTGATGTAATTCTTTGCAAAGGAGGATTGGGAACGGAGTGGCTGTTTAAAAATGTCTTGCTCAGACCGAGACGAAGAAGGGGTCAAGTTTGCAATCAAACAGTTATTGCGAGATGGGTGACTGTCACTGGCTGGGCTAATGTGGGATGCAGCTGTTTGTTATGTGAGCAAAAGAATGTTTGAATCAGTGAACATGTGAAAATGATTCCAGTGAACCAGAAAATGTGTTTGTTCTTTAGCTCTCCAAACTGCTGAGAACCAAGCTTAAGATCAACTGTGAAAACCAGGACCTTTGACAAATTGAGAGGTCATATTTTCTAACAGAAAATGGACAAAACTAGTCACACAGATCACTTCCGCATCTTCCCCCTTTGTTTTATTTCTGTTGTTGTTGTTGTTGATTTGACTTACCAATCATTTCACACCATTGTGGATGTCACTTCTGCCTCCGTGTACAATGCAAAGGGAAACTATTCGGAAAGCGGCAGTTTATAAATTTTACTCTTTTGTGACATTTAGAGAGCCGGGCGGCTGTTTTGATGCTCCCTCATTTCTGGCTCGCGTGCAAACACTCTGATGGCATTAATCTCTGCATCTTTCCCTAAAACCTCGTCTAAGACTATGCTGGGATCCAAGAGCTTCAGTCTGAGTCAGAAAACCACCAAAGTTCTGTTTCTTTAGATTTTGCTTTGGAAATCACGCTCAGAATAATTAAAACTTAATGTAGTAAGAAACGATACTGTTCATTATATCCAACAGGGCAGTTACCTTCCCATTCCCGATAATTTTGGAGAGGGGCTAATTGAAGTGTTGATGGTGGGAAAGGGGTAATTGAATGCATTGACCCTCTGTTCATTAAATAAAGTCGGCTAAGTTACGTGATCAATGGAGAGCCAGGGAGAGATGCAAAGATGAAAATATCGTTAACCCCTACTACTTCTGGTGTAATATTTTGAGATGGACCAGGATTATTTGATCAGCTGGGCTAGAAGCCTTGCGGGTCGGGTCTTCTTTTGTTGCCTGAGCCGCATTCCTGAGATGCTGGGTCTCCATCCTGTGCAGGCCCATTGACCGCAGCATCAAAGGCCTTTATCCGGGCTCCCTTGCACTGACATGGGGTGTAGAGTGATATGATAGATTTTCTTTCTTTCCCACCTCTTTTTCTCCTGTGGCTCCTCCTCCCTGCCCCCATTCATGATAACCACTGCCTGCTCCACACAAACAAATCCAGGCACCCAAAAGAATGAAAAAAAAGAAAAAGAAAAAATTTAAGTCTGAGGATTAAGATCTTCATTTTTTTTTTTTTTTTGCTTGTGCATTCCAATTGTTCTTAAAATATTTGGCAATGTCAATTAGTAACTGAGCAGAGTTAGCTGATGAACACAATTTTCCAGTAGGCTGAGCACCCTATTGTTGCCGAGCGAACAGCAGATTTCTGAGGTCATTATCATTCGCTGGTTGCTTGGCCCAGCTGCTTCCTGCTGCAAAAGCCAAACTTTATACTGGAGCTCGGGGATGGCGTGCAGCAACAGGGGGCTGGGCGGGGGAAGAGGGGAGCTGGCTGCAGAGCCGAAGACACTCATTATCAGCAGAGGAAACAGAAAGTAAAAGTTTCCAGGCAATTCCAGGAAAACTGCCCTATCAGGCTTCTCCCTCCTGTTCCTTTGCAAGTACCTTCCACCTCCAGGCAGGGAATTAGAAGGACCAGGAGACGCCCCCTGGGCATTGTGGCGACTAATCTCTTTGTTGCGCAGAATTTTGGAAAACAATAATTCCATTTAAAAATTTACTTAAAAATTGTTGACCCAATCTAAGGCGTGTGAGTGATTTCCTCATAGATAGACTCCTTCATTTTTATTAAAAACAGAAAAAAAGAAGAAAAACAAGTCTTTTTTTTTTAGATGAAATTAGTAACTTGAAATTAGTAAACTTGGGGATGACAAACAGGGAACGTGATTTTATTTTCCAGAGGGAACTTTTGAGCAGATAATAATCTGAAATTCCTTGTAAAATCAAATTTGATGTGGAACGCCCCCCTGCCCACCCTGGCCTCCCTTTTCCTGGCCCCCTCTCTCCCGCCCCCAGCCCCTAGTTTGGGAGCTGGTGAGTGAGCTGGAAAGCTGCACTTGTTTAAAGGTCAGCTGTTACAACCAAGCACCATATGCAGCCCTTCCGTCCCCGACACGGGAGCGCGTGCGGGCGGCCGCCGTGCCTGTGGAGATTTACGGAGGCTCGGCTCGCGTGTGCCGAAGCTGTGCCCAGGCAGACGCCG